TATTTTTGTTGTATATATATATATATATATATATTATTAAGTATATATATCTCCATAAACTATAGCAAATAAACTTAATTCATTAGAGGTCTCAAATAAATCTTTAACTGAGGAAAAAATTGAAATCGTGTTCCAACCGTACCTGAGTCTTAAATCATCAATATTCCCGTCCTGCTCAATACTGGGAATTGTTTTGAATTCCAAAATCATTACGAATAATCTGTCAACAGGACAGCAACAAACAAAATTACATATAAAATTTACTTTGCAAACATAAAATGTTTTAACTGTTGACCAGATGAACTAATGAGCAAAAATAATAATTATAATAACAATAATCGATGATTTTAACCTTAATTTGTTTTTTGCCATAATGAATAGTCTGGGTTTGTAATCTTCTTGATCTTTTATTTTACAGCTTCTAATGTGCATGAATTTTTTTCAAGGTATCTGAAAATAGATATTAAATCTGGTCATTCCATAACACCCTGTATAAGCAAAAGTTAAGAAATCTTGCTGCAAGCCAATGGCCGGTTGTGGTATTTTTAGCAATGACCCCTTTTTTTGAAAATCGAAAATTTTAAACGATTGATAAAGCATATCAATAATGGTCATTTCTTTCTAAAATGCTTGAATTAAAGCAATTTTCAGAATATTGTAAAATAATCATAATAATTCCATATTTATTAAAAAAAAAATGAAAAATTACTCGTGGAGAACGTTTTCGGCAAGAAAGTGACAATCGGATGGTGACTAGCAGGCGATTATTTAATCGCCATTTGTTGTATTTATATATCCTGTGGCCCGTGGGGACCATTAATTTTGCTCTATACCTGTATATTTGTAATTTTAAATACTTTTGGGATTTTAAACAATTAACTTTTGTTTTGATATAGTTACATCACGCCAATGTAAGCCTCTGCGATCTCTGAAAATAGTACTTAGTAAATGTGAGAATGAGCCTCCTTTAGAGGGCTCAATATGTCGGTACAGATGTCCCAGAAATTTCTCCTTGATAGGTTCCAGTGAGCGCCGTTGTGGTCAGAATTTACAATGGACTGGTGTTGAGCCTCGGTGCATTTTGGAATACTCTCATAGTAAGTATAAAATTGTGAAATTAAAATCGTCAACCAAATTTTTGTAAAGAAATCAAATTTTGTTCTATTTTAGTATTAGCGGAACGGAGTAAAAATGTCTTTATTCTTTAAGTATCGATGGGACTTAAAAGTCTCATCAGCATTATTTTCATATGGCATTGAAGCGAAACAAAATATCTCATCTGATCTTGTCGGTCCCTGTGGTATGACTACATACTTATCTGACTTTATGTAAATTTTATGACTAACCATATGATTTTACATAAATACATAATTTTTTCCTCACCTGTGGAACTGTCTAGTTATTGATATTTTGTTCAAGGGCGCCATTACTTCTCAATTCTCTGCTTTCCAAAACTCGATCAATTTTGTCAGTAAGTCTTTTCTGTTTCTCTATTGATTCATTAACATCTTTAACTAGTTATAAAATTAAATGTTTAACCTTGATTAAAATCATATAATGTGGGGAAATATTCAAATTAATTGTATGAAAAGTTAGAAAACAATATTGAATATTAAATTTTTTTTGTCTAAGTGTAAAATGAACTTTATTTATTGGGGAAAAAAAGTTCCGAGCATTGTTGATAGTTTTTTAATGATTTAGTAAATAAAAGATTAAATAATCCAGGAATCTTTATTAATTAACATTATGCTAGCAAGCTAGAACTGAAAGGAATGTAACAAAACAATTAAATATTTGGAAATGGTATCTCATTATTATATTTTTTCGAAGAACGATTCAACAAAGGAAAGTTGGTAAACACATTGATTGACACGTCAGTCATCGGTGGTTGACTTTGCATTTTCCATTTAGGCTCGGTAGCATCAATCATCATCGGTAGGTTGCTTTGCAATCCTATACCAGAAAAGTGCTCTTCTAAGAAGTGCATGGGACTTGAGGAGAATATAAAATTCTAAACCAAGATCGGATAACTTTAAAACAAGACCTAGATCTCGAGAGTGTCATACATTGCATGTGTTTGCAGACGGTTTTATTCTCCTCATAACGTCAAATACAAAAGAAAGTACTAGTTATAATGGCTACACAAGCACTCATCAAATTTATTCAATGGGCAGCAAAAAAGGTTTAAAGATAACAATAGAAAAAAAATCCAACCTGCTACTGCAGAGTAGCAACAAAAAGTACTGGTCAATAGCTCCAGGATCTCGCACGGAAAACAAAAGATCAAGCAGGAACAGAAATTCAAGCTCTTGGGTGTCATCATTGATGGGGATCTTCAGTGAAATGATCATGTCAAATACATTACTGGAAAAGCCTCCAAGAAATTTAATAAACATTAAAGAAAGCCGGAACAAGCTGGGAAGTTAAATTTTTTAAAACTTTATATTTTTTACATAAAATAACAACAATTTAATCAATAATGTACTCTCAGTTGTTGTTTACAAGTTCTTTACAACGTTCAACAAGTGTTTCGATGCTTCTTGGGTAGAAATCACCCGAAAGCGTCTCGAAAAAGTAGTCCAACCAAGCCGGTAATTCGGCGTCATTATTGAACGAAAGACCTAGTGAAGCATTTAAAAGCGATCTTAAAAGGTGGAAATCTGAAGGCGCCAAGTCCGGAGATTATGGAGGATGTGGCACAACCAAGTTTTTGGATAGCTTCCTTGGTCATATTCGCGATATGAGGTTGGGTGTTGTCGTGTTGGAGAAGAACGCCATTTTGGCGATTGGTTAGTTTTTGATAAATAACGTTTTTAAGACGGTGCATCTGTTGAACATAAAGCTCTGAGTTCACTGTTTGGTTCCGGTCAAGCAATTCATAGTGAATAATGCCTTCCCAGTCCCACCAGACACACACCATTGTCTTCCGAGGATGAAGATCTTGCTTCGCTGCGGGGTCGCTTGTTTTTCCGGGCTTAACCATTCTTTGCGCTATTTCATGTTGACGTACAGAGACACTATTTTTCATTGCCAGTTACGAAGAAATAAAAGAATCTTTGCTTGTGTCCTTAGGTTTGGTGATGACGGGCGAGAAAACTGGCGGCAATAGTGGAACGTTGATTTTTGGTGTTTTCGCTCAAAACATGAGGTACCCATGCGCCAAGTTTTTGAACCTTTCCCATAGCTCCCAGGTGTCGAACTATAGTCGATTGATCGTAATCCATTTTCTCCGCTAATTCTCTGGTTGTTTGATGCGCGTCTTCGAGCAGAAGTTGATTCAAATGGTGTTCATCGAACTCACTTGGTCGTCCGTATATATATATATAT